GTGCATTTAATAACTAAATAAAATAAATAGCATAATAAAAATAATAAAATGTAATGGAAGGGAATATAATAAAAGGGAGAGAGAGAGAAATAAAACCCAAGAAAAGGGAAGTGACGCACAATGCAGTTGCTCACCACCTGCTGACCAATGCCTGAGCAGTGATCTGCCCCAGCCAACTCCCCCCAGTTTATATACTGAGCATGACATTTTGTGGTATGGAATATCCCTTTGGCTAGTTCGGGTCAGCTGTCCTGGCCATGCCCTCCCCCATCTTCTTCTGTACGTCCTCACTGGCAGAGCATGGGAAACTGAAAAATCCTTAACTTAGTTGTTGCTAAGTAGCACTTACTCTAAAACATCAGTGTATCATCAATGTTATTATCATACTAAATCCAAAACACAGCACTGTACCAGCTGCTAGCAAGAAAACTATCTCAGCTGAAACCAAGACAGCTACATGGCCCCTCAAAATGATAGTGTGGTCTTGTAATAACACTGGCCTTAACAGTTCTGGCTGCATTCCATTCAGTGTTAAGGAGTTCAGTGTGTTGTATTTGCTGTTTGTGATCCATAATTTGATCTCCCTTTACTATGGTGAGTACTTTGCTCCCGCTGACTGTGATGCTAGGTTTGGGAACTTGGGAGGCCTGAAAGACTTTGTGCTCCAGTGCCTTGGCCTTTTCTGCGTACTGAATGGGTCCCTACACCGTTCAGCAGCAGGTCCACACTTTCCTCAATCATCATCTTACTGTTGCTGATATGCTGCTGTATGTAGATGTCCTTTTGGTGGCCTTCATATTGCCTGCTGGTTTGAATACCATCTAAGCTTTGGCTAATTCTGTCCCTGCATGCCTGGACAATATTTTTATATTCCTCTGTGTAACTTGTCTCCACTTTCACCTTCTCTGTACTTCTTTTTTTGTGTTTTTGAGTTGTCAGGAGTTACTCACTTGTCCAAGCCAGCCTTCTGTAACAGCTAGTGATTTTCTGCTCTTCAGAATGGACCATTCTTTTGCTTTGAGGAGGTTATTCTAGAAGAGCAGCCAGCTTTCCTGGGCCCTTTTGCCCTTTAGGGCAGCCTCCAGTGGGATCCTGACAGTTTTCTGATTAAGTTGCAGTCTGCTCTTTTGAAGTCCAGGGTTGTAATTCTGCTGTTTATATTGCTCGTTTTTCTTAGAGTCTTAAATTTCATTGTCTTGTGGTTGCTATAGCTGGAGGTTGTCATCAACCATCACATCCCTGATACCTTCTTCCTTTTTTTTCTTTTTCTTTTTTCTTTCTTTGAGTAGCTGATCCAGTAAATCACCTTTCATAGTATGGTTGTAAATCACTTGCATCAAGAAAAAGTATTCAGCACTTGCCAGCAATCTCTGGGACCGCTTGTGCCCTCCTATGCTGCCCTTCCAGCAGTTGCTGGGATGGTTAAAGCCCCTTGGAAGAAGCAGGGCATGGGATTATGAAGATTTATCTGTTTCTTTTTGAATCGGACAATCTGTAGCAGATGCCCATCACATCACCTTTGTTGGTCTCTCCTCATAAATACCTGTAAGTTGTCCACTGGCCCTTTGCCTGTTTCAGAGGAAAGCTCCATGCATTCATGCTACCCTTTTGTGTGGAGAAACCTCTCTCCTTTTTGCCTTTCTGGCACGTCCTTGCTGAAGTGCCTTCCTAAAGGTCCATTTATTGCAGCACTCCTGTCTTGCAAGCTATCCCACTGTTTTTCTGTGATGCCAGTGAGATCAAAGCTCTGAGGCTGCCTGTGGACATCTGATTCACCCTGTTTGTATCCCATAGTGCATGTGTTCCTGTACAGGTATTTGAGATGGGTTCCAGTCATGTTGCTTTCTCAGGAAATGTGAAAATTTTTCCTGTTATGCTTAATCTTGGGTGTTTCCCTCTGCCCGTGTTCCATACTGCCACTTTTTGGGGACTGTGGCTATAAAAGGTAATTAGAGACATTATATTCTTTAATTTTAAAGAATCTTTCCCAGAGTGTATACATTAAAAGTATACCAGCAGTATAATGTAATGCTTTTTACATGAAATTTTTCTCTGGTGTTATGACTCATATGGTCAATGATACTGGAAAGAGTAGAAGAAAACAATTCTCTGAAATTTTACCTAAATTGATGAGGCTAGAAGAAACAAATTAAATAAAATAATTACTCCAGCCCAATGAGAGTGCCTGCATTCTTTTAAGACTTGTCTGAACCTGAAAATAAATCCTTACATACCCTACAGAAAATTCAGGATGGTTGCTCCTGGGGTAGGGAAGTGGTGTTTTGATTTGCAGGCTTCTAGACATCTTCCTGTAGAGGTATGGACTGCTAGGTAGGGAATTGCAGCCATGTGGCTTTAGACTTGACTTCCTTAATTACTGTAGAAATAGTCCACAGAACCACTTCAGGAGGTCTGTGCAGCATGCATTGAAACCTCTGGCAGAGGGGCCAGCTGTTGGGGAAGAGAATTTCTGAAGAGACAAGACAAGGTGTTGGAGAGAGGTAGTCTAAAACTTTATGGATGATTTCTTGTTTCTCTGGTTGTAGCTTTTTCATGTCTTGAATACTCAGAGACATTCTGTACCTCTCCTTATGCAGCTTCTTGTTTCATGATATCCTATTTAAAACTCTTTCCTGTAAAATGATATGAAGAGTATCCAAAGTAAAAACTAATGGATTTTTGCTGTGTTTTCCATTCTACAATCTAGTTTAGACTAGCTTTTTTCATATATTTTAAAATACCTTCTTGGGTTTCCTTTATTAAATGATTTTAAATTCTTAGTCCTGACCTTTTTATTTGGAAGAGAATACAAAATCTTGTCATACACTCCATAAGGTGTAATGTTGTTTGCCAAGTTTGTAGGCAGTAAAACTTTCAGCTTCTATGAAATCTAATCAGAAGTGATACAGTAAGAGAGCTCTGTTTTGGAAGACAGGAGAGATGCTGCTTGGGCATGTGAAATCAGAATGTGATGGGTTGCAGGTTACTTCCTAACTGTGAAGGGTTTGTGTTAATACTTTCTTTGCAATTCTGTTCTGGCTTTGAAACTGAATTTTAGTGTTGAGAAGACCTTTCTGAATTGGTTCATGTAAGCTTTTTAGTTTATGGTGAGAAGCCTTGAGATGAAGAGGTATGGCTCCTCTTACTCTGTTTTGAGTAGTGGAGAAGTTTTAGAGAGGAATTTCAGAACATAATAGGTAAATATTTAAAAAAAAAAGTCAAAAGTTGTTCAGTATTAAATAGCTTTACATTTTTGAGTTGCTGTATTTTTATGTAAACTAAAATGAAGGAGAGGAACAGAAACAGAATAGCTTTCACCTCATCTTCAACTACTTTATTTTTTTTCTTAAATAATTTTTGCCTTACATTTTCCAGCATGGTTGATGTGCATTTTGAGATTATGATAATGAATATTGGTTTTTCTATTTCTCCATCTTTCTCCCTTTGTATAAAACCCCTCCTTCCAAATTCTAGCAAGTGGAAAGGCGACAATAGCAGTGTTACCACTCTGTGCATCAGTCCAGATGGCAAAATGCTGCTGTCAGCTGGTAGAACTATAAAACTGTGGGACCTGGAGACCAAAGAAGTCTACAGAGTAAGTAACTTTGTTAAACTAGATGCAAAAAAAATATCCTATTTGATTGGTGACATGACCTATCTAGTGATTCCTGATGGGACATTTGAAAATTTCACTGGGTGTGAGGAGACAGTGGGCAGTTTTGGGGTTGCTGGAAACTTGCTGTGATGATACCCTCAACTGTGGTTTCAACTTGCTGAGAGTTGAATGAGGACATTAAATTCCTTGGCTGTGTCTGAGCACACTACCAGCACCCTTTCTCAAGCCTGTAGCTGTTCTTTTTCACTGGGTCCCTTTCTGATACCCTTTTAGCAGGAGAACATGGTTCAGTACAGTATTAGTTACTGCTGGCATGGGTTTGTGCGTGGGCTCCCTGACTTCTAACATGAGTCGCTCCTTGAAGTCTTCAGGTTTCTCTGCTACACTTCATGCAACTGGTGGCATTATCAGTTTTGCTGTTGAAACAATTGGAAGTCAGAGGAGCAAACCCTTTGTTCCCTGAGCAGGGTTCAGATATGAGTGAATCACCATGCTTTAGCTGTTCTCTGAATGCAGCCATGTTCCTCTTACTTGCTAGCAGATAGGACGCAGCTAGTCTCTGAATCTCCTCCACTTGCTGTCGGGTAAGGGTGTACACACCTGCTGTTACTGTGGACTTGCTGGCACATGGCAACTACCATGCATGTCTGCCAAAACCAGTATTTACAAACCTGGATTGAGGAAATGATTTTGGGGTGGGGAGACAGAGTTGAACAGCTTTAGTGTGTCAGCAGACCTGTGCGTTCATCATACAGTTGAGGATGAAACTATGAATCTAGTTTCATTGTAAAAGTTGAAGTGTAAAATTGGAGAGGGTGATGGAAGTGCTTTCTGACAGTAACTGCAGTACAGATGGATAGGATTTCTTTTGCATGGAGCTGGTCTCAGTGCCTTTGATTCCTCATTTAACTTTTAAAATTCTGGTAAATATCTGGAGCGTCATAAAAAGTTTATTTGAAATACAGAAATGCTAGGAGGCTTATCACTAGTAAAATAAGCACTGAAATGTCTTAAACTTAGTAACACTTGGATCTTTCCTAATGTTCCTTGTTAACTAGTGTTTTAATTTTTGCCATATGACTGCTTATAGCAATCATTGAAAGATTCTTTTTTTTTCTCTTAGCATTTCACAGGCCATGCTACATCGGTGTCATCGTTAATGTTTACCACAGTGAAACCTATGAATGAAAATAAGCCCTTTGATGGAATTACAGGGCTTTATTTCTTGTCTGGAGCTATACATGACCGATTACTGAGTGTATGGTATGTAAGCTTTTCATAATTTGCAACTTTGATTAAGATCGGTGTTGAAGATAGACTCAACAAGTATGTTCTGAACTCTGTGATTAAACAGAAGGTTAAGCAGAAGGGGCACTCTGGAGAAATGCAGTGATGATCTCAAATGGTTCTTTCAACTTGCTGATTGTTGAATGAAGATGTGAATTTCCTTGGCTGTGTCTGAGCATGCTTCCAGTTGCCATTTGAATCACTAATATATGCCAGGAACATACTGTGTAACAGGCTTCCCTGTTCTTTGTACTTACTGTCAGGTTTTTGCTAAGTTTTCTTGCTAAATTTAATTTGGGAGTTACTTTACACTTGGAATGTAGAACACTTTCTAAGTTGAAGGCTGAAATTAGAGCATGACTATTTTGGGGTGGGGTAGATACTACTACAGTTGTTTGTGATTTATAGGCTTTATAACGCTTTTCAGGTGCAGAGGGTGCTGTTTGTGCTATGGTAAATAATGCGAAGTGTCTGTGTCTTCCAGGCAGATCAGATCAGATAGGAAAGAAAAGAATGCTGTGATGTCTTTCACAGTAACAGATGAACCAACTTTTATTGACCTGACTGTATCAGAAGTCAAAGAAGAGGTAGGAGCAATAGTTTGTAACCAAATATGTTGAACAATTTTCAGTTGTCACATCAGTTTCATTTTAATGTTGTAAAGAAGGAAGCTTTGTTTGTGTTTGGGTTCTGTTACACAGAGATGAGATCTGAATGCCAGTTCGTGGGTGAAAGGATATTTATTACAGGTGCATTTATAAAGCTGATAGTTTGAAGTACTAATTTTCAAAGCTAAGTGTAAATTCAGTGTTTTCTTCAGAAATTTTGCTTGTGGTGACAGAAATATCAATTGTTTCCTATTTAGAACAAGTTAGTAATCAAAATGGTTGTTAGAACTTGGCCGCAAGAAAATTTGTTCTAAAAATCCACTTTGGGTATGGTCCTGTTTTTTCTGATATCAGAGGGCTTTGGTAGTGTAACTGCATTTTGAATTAACTAGCCTTTAATGAGTTAAAGTAGCAGTGTGCGTTCCCCAAGTCTCTTAATTTCAGCAAATACAAGTCTTTCAAAGTAGTTGTCTTATGAAAAATGTCTGCATGTGAAACATGTTCACAACCTGTTTCAGGTATTGTTTAAAACATTTTTCTCCTGCTGCCTTTAGATGCCTTTTCTAAAAACAGTATTTCATGCTATAATTCCTAATGTTTCTTGTTGTGCCTTCTTACTGCATGTATTGGAGATAAGTGTATTCTGTAATGTACACCTGTCATTTAATTGCTCAGAGTACTCATCTCAGTTTCTTTCCTCTAAGTGTATTTACAATGTTAGTGCCTGCCACCTGTGCCTCTAGACATGCTTGGTACTATATTTTTTCAACTGTGCTGCTTATGGTGACATATATCTGCTACTGTGCAAACTGTTCCAATTTGGATATATCAGTAGTCATACAGTACAGTTATTAGTTATCTTTTTGTCTCCTAATAGTTGTACTAAATGTTCCTGAGATGTTACTTAGTGTCTTTGATTAGTGTCTTTGATCTTCCTTATGGATTTATTTATATCTTTAACGTGTTTAGTTACTGAAAAAAGTCAAGTTGTAGCCATGCAGCTGTCTCTTGATGTCCTGTACTTACGGGAGGTTTGTCCTTTGATCTAATTCAAATCTTTTACTGTGCCTTCTTTCAGCCTGTGAAGTTAGCAGTTGTGTGCAGAGATGGGCAGTTGCATTTATTTGAACATATCTTAAATGGGTAAGTTAGCATTCATCTTGAGGGTGTCTTTGGGAAAGGTCTGGGATTACTGTAAGGCAAAGATCAGTCTTGTCATGCTGCTGCCTTTAGGCTCTTTTATCTGTTCACAAACCAGGTTCCAGCTAGTTCTTTGTCTTGGATTACTGGACACATTTTTGGAGAACTTACTTGTTGGGGCTGTGCTGTACTTTGGTATTAAGTGTTATTTTGGCCAAGATTTTGTTTGTACCTAGTTGTAGCCATCTATAAAAGGTGTAAACTGGCTGTGTTTGCTGAGGACCTGCTAATGAAAGGTGCTTAGATATGCAAGATACTGAAGTGTTTAAGCTAAATCTCTTGGAATTTTTTCACTTTTTTTTTTTTTTTTTCTTTTCTTTTTTTCAGTTATTGCAAAAAACCCTTAACATCAAACTGTACTATCCAGATTGCAACTCCCGGAAATGATGGGGACTCCACGCCAAAACCAGTCCCTATTCTAGCAGCTGCGTTTTCTGCAGACAAACAGTCTCTGCTGCTTGTGTATGGAAACACCTTACAGCCCATCATAGAGAAAGTGGTATGTAAAATTTACTGGAGAGGTTTTGGATTTTGTAATGTAGGCTGCAAACTGCTCTCAGTTGGAGGGATATATATATATATATTTTTTTTTTTTTTTACTTTTTTGAAATTGTGTAACAAGACAAAGTTTACTCCTTCCCCCTTTTCTGGGAGTTATGCCTGTTTTGAAAGTCAATTTGTATTCTTACATTCTTTCAATTAAAATACAACTTGACATTATTGCTGGCTGTTTCTTGCCATTATGGCTGTTACTGAGTTAGGTCACTGAAACTATTTTTAATACTGCTTCAGTTTACTTGTGTGAGCTTCTTTGGAGAGCATAGAGATATGGTGACAAAAGGCAGAGTGCAAGGCAGCTGCTGTTCTAGAGTGAAAAAAGTTCATTCTACAATATATCTCTGGAATTTGTTCTTATCTTTCAGTAGCATAATTAGTCACAGGGGTGAATCTCAAATGTATTAACTGGTTTTGTTCTTGTCCTTCTAGTCTTTGAACACCACTGAATCACACATATGTTTGATAAGGGACATCCAGAAAGTGTTGTCACTCAAAACAGATGTTGCTCTAACTAAGGTGAGCCTTGCATGAAATGTGATTTTTGTTGCTCCTCTTGTTTTACTTTGGAAATGGTAGAATTCACTGCTCTCTCTTATAATGAGGTAGGATTTCTGGATGCACCTTCTCAGAACTGCAGTAGTAGCTACTCAGGCCCGTGTGGGTTAAGTGTGCTTCGTGGCTGCTGTGCATCTTAGTATCCTCTCGCACAGTTATCCTCCTGTAGCTCATAGCAAGTCCTATTCTCAGTAGGTTTGCTTGATGGACGGGCCTCCCTGATGGTTTCTTTTCTGCTCCAGATCAGTCCTTCCCCTAGAGTGTCAGTTCATACAGCCTCTTTGACACTGATAGTTTGGGATAAAGTTGGGATGGCTTTGTCTTAGAGTCTAAATAAAATGTAATGAAGCCTTAAAGGGCATGTCCTTTTGGCTCTTTCTCGAGGTTGCCTTCACGTGTTTCCTACTCACAGGGAATGTGAGCTTGACACTTAAATGGCAATGGTGTCCACTGAGTCCACTTGCCATGGTTTTCTCTCATGCAGGATCCCCCTGGGTGTTTAGAGACAGGCTGTGAACTTTTTAATCAGTGTGCATATTCAAGGCCTTGACGATTTGAAACGCTTGCAGTATCAGTGAAGTGAGCAGACAGTGCTGTTTTTCTAACCCTCAAGTTACCTACTGGATCTGGTGCTCCATCAGCCAGGTGAGGTTCTGTGCTGATTCCTCAGTCCTGGAGCTGGTGGGTAGCAGAGCTGAAGTGCAGCAAGAGGTGTAGGAACTCCCTGGCATGCAGTGATGATACCTATCTTGGTTTCGCTTTTTGCTGAATTCCAGTGAAGACACATTTCTCTTGGCTGTCTGAGCGTGCCTTGTGGGGAGAAGGTTTGTGATTAGTGTGGTGAGAAAAGGGGGTAGTATTTTAACACAATTGCTGTTCTACAGTAAAATTCTTGAATTACAAAATAAATTTTTTTGACTTTTGCACACAGCGTATGGAAGTTGCTCTGCTCACTGTAGTAGATTGTATTTGTACCATTTCAGTGGACACCCGGCAGGGCTCCCACAGGTACAGAATTTTGGGCAGGTACTTCAAAAAAAGGCCCTGCACAGGAATGCTGTTGTTAAAGAAATCTTCTGGAAGAAGCAGGTAGCATTCTTGATGTTCTGGAAGTGGCATACTCCCTTACATCCTCTGTGGGTCAGGGGAGCACTTGGTTATTAAATATATCATCTTTAAAATTCAGTCTCCTTTGTGTTTATTAACGATGGATGCTATAGCTTGTTTGGTATCGCCTAAGGTTGCTCTGTTTGTCATCATGGTCATAGTCTAACCCAGACTACGGAGTTCTGTGTTTGAGCAATGCCTAGAAGAAAATTGGTGGGATTGAAGTGAATAGTAACTACCTTTTACTGTCACATTGTGCTGCTGTTCATGATCAGCTCTTACTTTCCAGTGGAAGCTGAATTAATCTGCATGTGGTTTATGGGCCTGACTATTAGTACACATGGTATCTGTTGCTAGCAAACATCAAAATATTTCTTGTTGGATACAAACATGTTACAGAACAAGCTTGTAAGAAAAATGATCTACAGGTGATTCCAAAGAGGCCCTGGCTCTTAAAAATGTAGGATTTTCCTAATATCTATGTCAGGAAAATGGGTTGTGGCAGGCTGGTTTTACTGTGTATGTGAGAGTCTCGGAATAATATCAGTATTTTAAATTGGAAAAAAGTTACAAGCAATTAATGAAATGTGGTTATCTCTGTTACTAGGTAAAGACGCCTGTTGTGAACTCAGACACCAAAGTTCTAGTGCCTGGCATTCCAGGACATAGTACAGCTGTCAAAACTCCATCCTCAGGAAAGGAGAGAAAGAAAAACAAGAGGAAAACAGGAGAGACAAAGGTAAAGTTTTTCCTCTTTTACACACAGCAGTAATGGAGAAACTAGAATCATAAATCAACATTATGACTTCTTCAGGTGAATTTGAACTTGCTTTGTTTGGTGTGGAAGCAAGTTTAATGATGCCGTCTTTTTGTGTGGAAGACAATTCCCTCTGCTCAGAACCTTTCCTTCATTCAAGCCCTGTGTGCCTTGCCTGTAGTTTTGCCACGTTCTTGCAGAACTTTGTCATACACTTGTGTCTGTGTCTCTGTGCTAAGGTATATTACTGCTTTTCAGTCAAAACTTCATCCTCTCTTCTTTTCTCAGGCTATTTTCTGTCAATACATTTAAAAGAATATGAAAAATTTGTGTTATTTTCCAGCAGAATCAGAGGGAATACTGTAGGTTAGGTACTTTGCTTTCAGCTGATGTT